ATGTGGGAGTGTCCAGCGCCTTAACCACCACGCCACCTGCCGGTCCCTAATTTTAATTCTTTACTAATTTATCTTAATTTGACCGGGGATGCGAGGGGGGGGGATGAGAAAGTAAGCTTCCAGGTCTGGGGCTTGAACCACGGTTAGCCATGTGAGAGTCCAGTGCCTTACCCACCATGCCACCTTTCAGCTCTTGTTATGCCTTATTCTTTTTTTTTTTTTAATAATTATTTTAGGGGCCAGCAGTTAGCTAATGGCTATGTCACTGGTCTGTCTGTCTTTCTGGCAAGCGAACGCACCCTATAGCAAAAACGTCTAAAAAAAGAATTATTTATTTATTCATTAATTTATTTTATTTATTTTAATTTGACCAGAGCGAGACAGAGAGAAAGTGAGAAAGCAAGCTACCAGGTCTGGGACTCAAACCGTGGTTAGTCATGCAGGAGTGTCTAGCGCCTTAACGACCACGCCACCTGCTGGTCCCGTTATGCTTTATTCTAAAGTCACAAGTAGAACAGTTAGTTTTACTAACAGGAGAAAGGTAGCACAGTCTTCTCTGTTTCTTTGTCATGAAATTAAAATACAGAGGAGTAGTTAATTATTACAATTTCCTCTATGTTGGTAGAGGAAGAGCTACTCCTAAATAGCATTGATTTTTTTATATGAATGGCAACCTCAAAATAGGAATGCTGCTTGGATGCAAATTTAAAAATAAGAAAAAGGGCTACTTCTCTGTTCTGGGGCACAGTTTACAGTTCTGGGGAGACTTAAAAACATCTTTGGACACAGGAGCAAAGAAAAGCAGCATGTCTGCTAGGCGCTTCAGACACCGAATTTCTGCCCCTTTCACTTCCCTTTGTGCCAAGATGAAGAGGAGAAATGAGGAATATGAGAGTCACCTAAATGTAACCATGCTGCTTAATAATCCTTCATAAACTGTTACCATACTCTACACTCCACCTCAGAGGCAGAACCCCTAGCTACTCAGTTGGCTCACCCACATCCTATTATTTTTACTCCCTCACTTGGGTCTACATGGCTGCTGCCCCTACTCATCTGTCAAGGACCCTCCAGTCTGAGCTCCCTGGATGGCTGGTTGGCCATCTGACTCCCCTAGGCAAGCACCATGAAGGTGGGGGCGTGGTCTGGCTCACTGCTGGATGCCCAGTCCCTAGGAAAGTGCTGGCAGAGAGAAGGCTCTGATCAGGTTTCTGAATAAATGGCTTCCAAAGCACGTCGACTCTGCAATCAGCAAAATCAACCTCCTCAAAATCTCGTTTCTTTAATTCTTCATCATCCTGAGTACTATGACTTAAACAAAGAAACTGCTAGAAAGAGGTTCTGGATATGTTTGGGGATGATGTTTTCCCAATATTTGGGAGGAACAGATCAGCTTTACTTGAGAAATAGCCTTTCAAATGTGAGGTTTAAACACTTTGGTCCAAGTTGAGAAAGGGAGCTTGGCTGTTGGCCAGAAAAGAAGCACCAACCGCCCCACAACTGTCCTCCCTTCCATCCCAATGCCCCACCAGTAAGGGGAGAAGGTAATCTGGAGGAGAAAAGAGGCCAAAGAAAACAGCCAGAAGACACATCTGATGACTGGTTTCCTGCTGTAATAGGTTAACTCCAGGGTGTCAGCTTTTCTGAAGATTGAACATGAAGTTTTCCTGTCTTAATTTCTTTACCCATGAAGGGGCAAACTGATGAAAGCAGTAATATTAAAATGTTCCAGGCACATTAAGAAGGTATAATGGGAATTAACCACCACTTCAATTTCTCATCATGATTTCCCAAGATAAGGCTCCCACAGAATGGCTTTTGCAAGAGAATTTGAGGGGAAAGTGTAATTGCTCTGTCAGATCAAATGGTTAGTGAAAACATTTTTAAGAAAGTAACTAGCATGGGAAGACCAAATAAGACGCCTTTCCTTCTTACAGTTTTCTCCTCAGCACTGTCTTCACATGTTCTTGCTGGGAGTTACTTCGCAAATGTCATCAACAATGAAAACACCCCCAAGGCTGACTAATCTTTGCTAACAAAAAGCCCTTCAATGGCACATGAAATAACTTACAAAGCACACAGACTGGTGTCCAGTATGTGGCCATGCTAAGTGCTAGTTCCAAAAAAGAAAACCTTACTTGAGTAGTGACCAGAGGTGGGCCTGGTGGGCACAGCAGCTGCAGCAGTGTCCACGTAAGACATGTCACCAGCAGGATGGAGTCCATCCACTTCAAATTGCTTTGGCACGTTCCCTCCATCTACACAAGATGCAAACAATGCTCATGAGACCTCCATCACAGCAGCTATGAGAAGGGCAAGGGCAGTGCAGGGCAACCAGCTTTGGGGGCATGTGAGCTATAGCCAACTATTATTCTTACAGGATTCTAAGAGGTTCTCAACATAATCACTTACCAGTGTAATCACTTTTCAAAGGTTCTTTTTTTTTTTTTTTAAGAGAGATTTTTGTTATAGGGCATGTGCGCTTGCAGAGACACGAAGAGACAG